ATCAGAAGACAGAATATCTTCACGATCCAATTCCTCGTCGAAAATGTCGTCGTAGTACTCATCATCCTCATCCTCCCCCTCCTGCTCATCCAGCAGATCTTGCCCCGCCTCGGCGGAGTCTGCAGTATCAGGATTCACGTAGCCTTCGTTGGGCACGTAGGTATGCGACGGCGTGATGCCATCGGCAATTCCAGCTGCCTGGGCAGTATTCTCATTTGAAGCCATGCTGGATCTTCAAAATTGAGAATGTAGGAATTTGAATTCGTCCGTCGGGTCCCCAAGGTTTTTTTTTTTCCTGTGGCTCTGATTAGGGTCACCGCCCGGCAGAACCCCGCGTACGGGCGACTAACCCATTCCTCACCGCCTCTTCGATGCCAATTTCAATTGGTACATTTATTTTTATATAGTATGTACCTATGTGTAGGTAAGAATATTTAGTCGCTTATGCGACCTCGTCATGTCTTTAATGGGCTTATTAGGTACATACAGCATACTACTACTTTTATATACAAGTATGGATATCAATTAAATGCCACTCAGAGTGTACATAACTATGTGTATTTACTATGTTGTATGTACTAGAAAGTGAGGATGCAAATTACTGGCTGGCAATATTATCCAATGAGAGAATTGTGTCCAGTTGGTATGCCTAGTCGCCCGTACCCCGCGCCCAACGAGACGCGCTAATTTCGTTCCTCGCGTAATCAATCTCCAAGGCTTTGTAACACAATCACGATACCCCTCGGCATTTGTCTGTTCTTTGCTAAAGAGATCTGCTGGCTGAGATCCTTGTAGCACATTCTATCCTCATTTTTTACTCTTGCGCCAGGCGCGTTAGGCCGAGGGTGCTCTGGTTGATCCTCGCGTCGCGCGTTTCTTCTCAAGATGTATGTCAAGCAGATCATCATCCAAGGCTTCAAGAGGTATTTTTCCCATTCCATACCCTAAGACTTTATGAACTTTTTATTGACTCCGCACGGAATTCAGCTACAAAGATCAAACGGTCATTGAGCCATTCTCCCCCAAACACAACGTCATTGTCGGCCGCAATGGTTCCGGGAAGAGTAACTTCTTCGCGGCCATTCGCTTCGTCCTCAGTGATGCCTACACTCATCTCGGCAGGGAGGAGCGCCAAGCTCTTTTGCACGTATGTATATTGGTATCGCTTAAATAAATCTACATAGGTTGACCCCAAGCAGGAAGGTTCCGGTTCGGCTGTGATGTCCGCCTATGTCGAGATTATCTTCGACAACTCCGACGATCGATTCCCCACCGGCAAGCCCGAGGTCGTCCTACGTCGTACTATTGGTATCAAGAAGGACGAATACACCCTCGACCGCAAGAATGCCACCAAGAACGATGTCATGAACTTGCTCGAGTCGGCTGGTTTCTCCCGCTCCAACCCTTACTACATTGTCCCCCAAGGCCGAGTGACTGCGTTGACCAACATGAAAGACTCTGAGCGCCTGGTTCTGCTTAAGGAGGTCGCCGGTACTCAGGTCTACGAAGCTCGTCGTTCAGAATCTTTGAAAATCATGAACGAGACCAACAGCAAGCGCACCAAAATCGATGAACTCCTCGACTACATTAACGAACGTCTTGCCGAACTCGAAGAAGAAAAGGACGAGCTTCGGAGCTATCAGGAGAAAGACAAGGAGCGCCGCTGTTTAGAGTACACCATTTACTCCCTCGAGCAACAGGAGATCGGTAAGGTTCTTAACGAGATCGAAGAGCGACGACAAAACGGTGTTGAAGATGCCGACAACAATCGTGACCAATTCGTTGAAGGCGAGAAGGCCATGGCTCAGATCGATGCCGAGATCGCTGAGTGCCGGCAGCAGATTGAGTTCCTGAAGGTTGACAAGGCTCAACTGGAAGACGAACGACGTGAAGCATCTAAGACTCTGGCTCAGAACGAACTGCAGGCCAAGTCTCTTTCTGACAACCAGGCTGCCGCACAAGCACTGAAATCACGCTACGACTCCGACCTCAACTCTGTTCAGACCGCTATCAGTGAGCGTGAAGCCGAACATCGGGAAATTCTCCCTCGGTTCAATGCCTTGAAGGATCAGGAAGATACGGTCAAATCACAGTTGACGGATGCGGAGACATCGCGTCAGCGTTTGTATGCAAAGCAGGGTCGAAACTCGCGATTCAAGAACAAATCTGAGCGTGACAAGTGGCTGAATATGGAAGTCCGTGAGAGCCATAATTCCATCAACACTGTCCGGGGTGTGATCTCTCAGACACAAGAAGATATCCAAGACTTAGAAGGCGAGATCGCTGCTTTGGAGCCGGAAACCGAACGCCTACGGCAGCAAATTGATGGACGCGGCGACACAATGCATAATGTAGACCAACAAGTCCAAGATGCTAAGGATGAAAGAGACCGTCTCATGGACCAAAGAAAGTAAGTTGCCTTAAATAACTAATTGGCTAGAGTCAGGTATTAATGTTTCCGCAGAGAACTCTGGAGAGAAGAAGCAAAGCTTGACTCCGTGCTTTCGAATGCGTCCCAGGAGGTGGACCGTGCTGAGCGTAATCTCTCGCAAATGATGGATAACAATACTAGTCGCGGAACCGCTGCAGTTCGCCGAATCCAGCGCCAGCATAACCTCGAAGGAGTTTACGGTACACTTGCCGAGCTTTTTGATGTCAATGATAGATATCGCACCGCCGTCGAAGTTACCGCCGGCCAAAGCTTATTCCACTATGTTGTTGACACAGATGAAACTGCTTCGGCCGTTCTTGAGATCCTACAAAAGGAAAAGGCTGGTCGTGTGACGTTTATGCCTTTGAATAGACTTCGCTCTAGGCCCATGAACATGCCTCGTGCTAGCGACACAATACCCATGATCGACAAGTTGCAGTACGACCCGGCGTATGAGAGAGCCTTCCAGCATGTGTTCGGCAAGACTATCATTTGTCCCAACCTGCAGGTTGCGGCACAGTACGCACGAAGCCATGGTGTCAATGCCATCACTCCAGAGGGTGATCGATCAGACAAGCGTGGTGCTTTGACTGGTGGATACCACGACTCCCGTCAGTCGCGACTGGACGCTGTCAAGAGTCTAGCTAAGTGGCGAGATGAGTATGAGACTAAGAGAAATCGCGGTACCGAAATCCGGAAAGAGTTGGAGAAACTTGACCAGATGATCACCAAGGCTGTTGGTGAACTGCAAAAGCTCGAGCAACAGAGACATCAGGTCCAGAACAGCAGTGGACCTCTACGACACGAGTTGAGGGCCAAGCGTGACCTTCTTCAAAACAAGAACGATACTCTTGATGCCAAGCGACGCGCTCTTCGAAATGTTGAGTCTAACCTTGCCGCACTGAACGACCAAGTCAATGCGTTCCAGACTGAACTAGAGTCGCCTTTCCAGAAAGCTCTCACCAGTGAAGAGGAAGCTAGACTAGAGACTTTGAGCAGCACAGTCCAAGATCTGCGCCGTCAATACCAAGAGTTCTCCGGACAGCGGAGCGAGCTCGAGGCACGCAAGTCGGTGCTGGAAGTTGAACTTCGAGAGAACCTCAACCCTCGCCTTGACCAATTACTCAACAGAGACATTGACATCGCTGACGAGGAAGTTCAGGGTAACCTGAAAGAGACACAGCGTGAAGTGAAGCGCATTAGCCAGACGTTGGAGAAGCTCAATGCGCGACTAAAGGAGGTTGACACCTCAATTGAGGAAGGCAATACGCGCGTGATGGATCTGCAACAGCGTAATGCAGAGACCAGACGGGAAATTGAGGACCTCGCTCGATCTATCGAGAAGCACCAGCGCCGTATGGAGAAGAGCATGCAAAAGAAGGCAGCACTCACTAAGCAGGGTGCCGAGTGTGCTGCTAACATCCGTTCCCTCGGTGTTCTTCCGGATGAAGCTTTCACCAAGTACCAAAATACCGACTCCAACACTGTTGTCAAGAAACTCCACAAGACCAACGAGGCCCTTAAAAAATATTCTCATGTCAACAAGAAGGCGTTTGAACAGTATAACAGTTTCACCAAGCAGCGTGAGACTCTTACTACACGTCGTTCCGAGCTGGATGCGTCCCAAAAGTCCATCGATGATCTCATTTCTGTTCTTGATCAACGCAAGGATGAGGCCATTGAACGGACCTTCAAGCAGGTCTCACGCGAATTCCACAACGTGTTCGAGAAGCTCGTCCCCGCCGGTCGTGGTCGTCTTATCATTCAAAGGAAGACAGACCGTGCCACACGACTCGACGACGATGTTGACTCAGATGACGAGGAAGCTCGGCAGAGCGTCGAAAACTACGTCGGTGTCGGCATCAGTGTGAGCTTCAATAGTAAGCACGATGATCAGCAGCGTATTCAGCAGCTGAGTGGTGGACAGAAGAGTAAGTATTTCCAGCCCGAATCTGTATTGTGACTTACAGTTGCTAACTAACTTGCCATAGGTCTTTGCGCTCTCGCACTTGTTTTCGCCATCCAGGCTTGTGACCCTGCACCATTCTACCTATTCGATGAGATTGACGCGAACCTGGATGCTCAGTACCGCACAGCCGTTGCACAGATGCTCAAGTCTATCTCGGATTCGACCAATGGACAGTTCATCTGCACTACCTTCCGACCTGAAATGCTGCACGTGGCAGAGAAGTGCTATGGTGTAAGCTTCAGGCAAAAGGCCAGTACTATTGACGTTGTCTCGCGCGAGGAGGCTCTAAAGTTCGTGGAGGAGCAGAAGACGTGATCGTCGTATTTCCCAGGTGTGCTATTTGTATATTGTAATCAATATTTGCTTCGATGGACTAGCTGGCTGGCGTATTCTGATACCGAACTCTTTTATTATTATGCTAACATATTTTCATTCCAATTCTTACAGCGTAGTTATATGTACATCTCGATGCATTCATTATACACGACAGCTATTTACCGACCTAAGATGGCATTGTTATGTGCCATGATATAGTCAACACTTGATGATTTACTTGGGCAACTTGTACAGCATGTTTTTGCAGTTCAAGCTAGCTCACACTCAATCAAACTCTCCACACCCCCTCTGCGCAGTCCAAATATTGACAATCTTCAGTCCAGCAGACGTCAGCAATGCATGCCACTGGCGTTCCGTTCGCTCACCAGATCCAATTTCCATCATAATCAAGTCCAAACTCGTCGTTTCCCAGTAAGCCCCCGTGTCTGGAATGACATTTTCATTCACCAATACCTTACTATAGCCGGGCTTCATAGCAGCCACAGTGTTAGCAAGAATCTTGCGACAAAGGTCATCGGGCCAGTCGTGGAGAACAGAATGCATATAGTACGCGCGGGCCCCTATATAGATAGAATGTTAGTATATTCCAGCAACTGATGGTCAAATTGCGATCCACAAGGAAACGGGGAACTCTTCTATTTCCGTACCTTTGACTGGTTGCTCAGTAAAGAAATCATGACCAGTAACATCAATAGAGGGATGTAAATCCTTTACAGAAGTCACCACCTCAGGAAGATCCTGAAGCACCAGTCGACCGGGGACACCAGGCCATTTCCGACGGAAATCGGATATATCATGACCGAAGCTACCTCCGACATCGACAAGCAGGACATCGTCCCCGCCGATGGTGACCCCATCTATAAGCTGTTCTTGGACCGGGTAGAAACCGGGATCCATCCAGCGGACTCGGCCTTGGGCGTACACTGACATGTGGTTATTAAACTGCTTCGCGGTAAGGGGTTCCTGTTTCACGTGGCCGAAGAACCCCATGTCTGTTTCATAACCCATCTGGAATGCTGTATCTGTGGGACTTGTGGGGTTTTGGTAGTTGTTTTTCTTGAGGAAGTCTGGGAGAGCCATAATTCCTTTGGTGAAACGACGGGTCCTAATCTTGTTAGTTCCTGATTCGGGGTATGGGGTACTAATTCTCAACCTACATGAGTGGGAATGCGTCGCTGTATCTCTCAACCGTGAGAACCTTTGAGAACCCAGTGGGACTGTACTCATTGTAGCCGGTCTCGGTTATCGTTCCCATTGCGGCGAGATGCTTCATCAATCTCCCTACATGAATTTGTCAGGCATTGGTGTTTGCTGGTATATAGATGTAATTATCACTGACCTAGCAAAATTGGATCCACGCTAGTTGCCTTAGCAAGCTCTGCGATAGTCTTTGGTTTGTCATCTGTGCCAAGAGCAGAGAAGAGGCTTATATCAACGGCAGTCTCTAGGGCTGCATAACTCGTAGACTAAAAAGTAAAACGGCAATACCTGTCAGTCTAAATAATCTTCACTGATTTCCGGAAGCATGGAATAATATGTGATAACACACCTCGGACCAGCAGTGTCGAATAATGGCTTCTCGGGGAGTTTCCAATGCATAGGTCAAGGATCGGGCCGCTTCTAGGAGCTTAAGTCGTGCTTCGGGATCCTGGGCGAGGAGATCTTTTCCATGACCAACAACCGTTTGAAGGAGATCAGGCACTGTATCTGGCAGGTTTGAAGTGAGAGCAAGACCCTCTACATCTGTGGCATTGCCATTGACCGAGCCATTCAAATCCCCGTTACTATTGGAGGATGTCATGATTGACTGTGCTTGCTGCAATGCATATATGCAGGAGAACAGGTGGGATTAAAAGGAATATTCCGGCAATGAACTCATGCTACATTAAATTCCAGGTGTCAACATGCCATACTAAGTTCACTGAACCCCTGACAGGACTACTATCCCCTGTATGCTTAGTGTCGTAATTTATTTCTGGTCAAGCGACAGGGATATCAATTGGCTGGTTAGTCAAGTTACTTCGGGGTAGATCGGCAAGTTATATTAAAAACGGAGAACATACGGAGTAGAGCCATTGTTTTCTAGCCGAGTGAACTCTGGAGCCTTTGATAGCTCCACATACAACATAGTGTAAGACAATCGGCCCCCACGAAGGATTCATGCATTGACATTGACTGCTCCGCAGTTCATAGGAATCCCAATACAGGTAAAATATTACATATTACGCGAGAATTGGTTTCCGGGGTTCTACTTAGCAAGATGGGGGACCTTCTAGATTGATACATGCTATTTTTTACATATAAATGAGGATCAGATATAGTGGAAATGCACCAACGCTCTAGTGGCCCAAAGTGAGATAACTATCATTTATTGTTAAGCGTCACTGGCGAACTTTAAGAGACAAAGTCAGTATTTTCTTACTGAAGCGATTGGTCAACATATTTTAACATGACTCCTCCCAACTACTGTATCAGCACATGCTATATTACAACAATAGTACAACACACGTACATATATGTGTTTTTATTTTGTAATTTTTTTCAGAAATAATTTATTCTCGACTTTGCAGTTTCATGATAATTCTCCACCTGTTCTACAGTTTTCGGTCCTCTGGATGCCACAGAAGATAGAGTATTGTCGTGAATATACTATATGCAACGGAGTAGCCACTCTGCTCTCGGCATCATGGCAACCACGGACCCCGAATACATAAGCCAGAAAAAGGGTCCACGCATTCTAGGGGTGTTCTGGGCCTTCTACAGTGTGAGTGTGGTGATGGTATCCCTGCGACTTTATATCAGAGCCCGGATGTTAAAGAACATTGGACTCGATGACTATATTATCGTGGCAGCAATGGTACGTACCTTCCAATTGAATTTAATCCACGCGAGATACCGATTCTATAGGCTATGGTCACCAGTTATACAATTCTCACCACGGTAACTGTCGTTATGGGATACGGGAGCCATACCTCTGTGTTGATGGAAAAAGGTGGCATGGACTTGGTTGAACGCATTCTAGCCCTTAACTACGCAAATTTCGCACTGGGAATTATGTCTTTTACCACCCCAAAACTCGCATCGCTGCTCTCCTAAATCGCATCATGAATCCCAGCCGGTTCCATCGATTATGGTTATGGATATTGACAGGCTTCGTGTTCGTGGCATCGACCATCTGCATCATTGTTCTCTTTACCATGTGTGATCCTCCTCAGGCTTTATGGAAGGTTCATCTCATGAGTAAAGGGGCAAAATGTCGTTCGACCACGATCCTGGTGGGCTATGCAATCTTCACTGGAGGTATGTTGGTGGGTTGGCTGTCTTTCACAAACGAACAACTAAACCTTTCTCAGTTCTGTCTGCGGTGGTCGATCTATATCTTGCGATTTATCCGACTGTGGTATTGCTCCAACTTCAAATGTCGCTGAAGAAAAAATTGGCCCTGTGCGCAGCTCTAGGGATGGGTGCCGTGTAAGTTGATTGATATTATGTCCGGAGAAAGTAACTAATCGTCCACACAGAGCCTGTGCAATGGCTATTGTCAAGTGTCTACAGTTACCGGGTTTATATAACACGTCAGACTCGACATGTAAGTTATTTTTCCTGCATATAGTGAGATATTTACTACTGACACGACATATATAGACGCAACAGCAGATCTTGTTATCTGGACGAGGTATGTTTCCAGTCCCGCTTTTCTCCAGCCTTTATACACAGTGATAAGACTAACATCTGACTCCCATCTCTCAGTGTCGAGTCGAACATCGTCATCATGGCTTCCTGCATCCCAACCTTGGGTCCGATGTATGAAATGATCCGAGGCAAACGTTCCTGGAGCTCTCACGGGCGCTACGACAGCGGCAAGTTGCGGTCTTACACGGATAGACCCACGAAGAAATCGGCAAGCAACAATCGTGATGACGACGATATCCTCATGAAAACGAATATTGGGACTACAAGGAGCGGTAGCCAAGAAAGCATATTGAATTCGGATCAGCTCCGGAATGAAGCCCATGTGGCCGGCAAGATTCATCGCACGGATCAGGTAAAGATTGAGTATGGGGAAAGACAACAAGGTGACCACGAACCAAGACCTTCATGGTAGAATGGGTTGTCTACGAGTGTGCTACTACCGCTTGTGTTCATTGCGGGTTGACCAAAAGTCTTAACCTTTCGAGAACTCTTCTAATTATTTAAATTTTTCCTGTTTGATCCATGACGCTGTGAAATGTCCAATGTAAGAACAATGTAAAAACTTGGAAACGAAATGCTTCAGATGCAGGTAGAAACTTGACCAATCGGGGCAAAAAGTTCTATCAACACAATCCCAGCAACCTCACTCCTTTGCCCATTCGAATACGATATCTTCAGGGACATCACGGACCAAGATATGGACATGCTCCAATGCCCTCACGCTCTGCAAACCGACCCAATTCTTAAACCACAGCACATGGGAGTCAGGGTCCGAGAAATTCCGAGGGTCCTTAGCCAACCGGTCCACGAAAGTCTTTTGAACAAAACTGTTGATCATTGCACGAGATTCGTCGGTCAAATGGCCCTCGTTAGATTGTACAGGGATGGGAGTACGCAGCCACACAACTAGATGTGAGATTCCGGAGGTGAGGCCATAGGGCCAGTCATTGCGGAGGATCTTGTAGTCCTCGGGATCGGCAAAGGGACGCGGGTTCTTGAAGGTCCCGCTTTGCTGGATAACCGCGGAGCCAGTGCCGTTGGCAGTGTTTACCGGTAAATGCCACTTTAATCGCTTCTGGCAAATATAATTCATGATGGTGCCATACTGGGCTTTGGTCTCTTGTGTCCAGGCTAGGTATCGACGGAGATCGGAAGGCTTCCGCCTGAGTGCGCTGAGATCATTTCGCGCTAAAACGGTATGAGGGGAAGTGTTTCTAGGGCAGATTTGGAGCAGATTTGGAGATAAGGAAACACTTACCGATGATGCTTTTTAAGTCTTCCCAGTCGTGGTATACGAACTCCTCGTCGGTCATGGCCAACAGTTTGTGGTCCAATTCCGTTAGATTAAAGGCTGGGAGTTCTGGTTCTTCGCGCATTTTGATGGATTTGAGAAGAAGGAATAAGAAGCAGTGTCAATAATCCTAATACGTCCAATAAGTCCAATAAGCCAAGTTCGAGGAGTAAATGGAAAGTCGGGGAAATGGTAACCCCAAAAGGTGGGAAATTCCGTTGGGCGGACTTGGCCCCCCTCATTTCTTTTTATCTTCTCTCTCTCTTCTCTTTTTCTCTTCTGCTTTTATCGCAACTGTTTTTTCCTGTTTCTTCTCGTTTCATACAGTCTCCGAGTTCTGTCATAATGAGGTGAGTTAATATTCTTCATCTTTTCATAAAAACAATGGCTGATTCCCCGAAGTCTCGCCACCATCGGCACGGCCCTCGCGCCCTCGGCCCTGCTCATCGCGGGTGTTTACGCCATTAAGCCCGAGTTTGTTACCTACGCAATCGCTGTGGCTGGAATTCTGGCTGGTTACTTGGTCTTCAGCAACAGTGCGTGAATTCCTTTTTCATCCAATTATCGGCCTGGTGAAGGAGCCGAAGAACTGAACTGATTTTATTGATCGCAGAGCCTCGCAAGGTGTTGAACCCCACTGAATTCCAAAACTTCGTCCTCAAGGAGAAGAACGAGATCTCCCACAATGTTGCCATCTACCGTTTCGCTCTCCCCCGTTCCACCGATATCCTCGGTCTCCCCATCGGTCAGCACATCTCTCTCGCCGCTACTATCGCTGGTCAGCCCAAGGAGGTTGTTCGCTCTTACACCCCTATCTCCTCCGACAATGAGGCTGGATACTTCGATCTGCTCGTCAAGGCCTACCCCCAGGGTAACATCTCCAAGTATCTCACCGAGCTCAAGATCGGCGACAACATGAAGGTCCGCGGCCCCAAGGGCGCCATGGTCTACACCCCCAACATGTGCCGCCACATTGGTATGATCTCCGGTGGTACTGGTATTACCCCCATGCTGCAGGTTATCAAGGCTATCATCCGCAACCGTCCCCGTAACGGTGGCAACGACACCACCAAGGTTGACTTGATCTTTGCCAATGTCAACCCCGAGGACATCCTGCTCAAGGACCAGCTCGAGGAGTTGGAGAAGGAGGACGATGGATTCCGCGTCTACTATGTTCTCAACAACCCTCCCGAGGGCTGGACCGGCGGTGTCGGCTTCGTGACCCCCGATATGATTAAGGTAAGTTTACATGCTGTGCTCGGCTGTGCTACCTCGGTATTAATTAAACTTTCTTATAGGAGCGTCTGCCCGCCCCCGCTGCCGATGTTAAGGTCTTGCTCTGTGGCCCCCCTCCCATGGTCAGCGCCATGAAGAAGTCCACCGAGGCTCTTGGATACACCAAGGCGCGCCCCGTCAGCAAGCTGGAGGACCAGGTTTTCTGTTTCTAAAGGATTTGCTGCGAATCAACAAAAAGTTGCTGTTTTGGAACTTGACTCTGCCTTTTATATATGTGAATTTGGCATAGAATATTAGCTTGGCCTGGCTGCGAAGCATTTCTGTTTTGATGTTTAATCTGGGTTGTTGTGTCGTTAGATGTGTGAATAGACGCAAGCCTACAAGGGATTGAAAGATATTCCCCTACATTTCGGTATAAACCCTATGTTCTTAATCAACGTCTAATAACTGTACAATTTTATATTTATATTATATGTGTACACTCTACGTCGGTCCAACAGCTTCACCTAGCATAACACTATAGTCACTATTCCTGGGGTTGAATGGATACGAGGTTCGGTACTGAGTTTTGATGGACTTCTAGATCTGTTCCTAAGTGAAACCAGCATTTTTAACGATTTCCATTAGCGATTAGTACACCTAGATATTGGGTTTAGGGATTCCACAAACTAACAGTATAACTTCTAGCGGGGGTAGCGGCATTAGCGGCATGCTGCCCGCTACAACAGCTACATTGAAAACGACTCTTTAGCTACTTATAATATCTAGGGGGCTCCGAAAGCTTTCAAACGTTGAACGATCACTAGCATTACGAAGCAAAAACCAAGGACCTGAAGATTGTAGATGCATTCATTTCAACGAACCAAAACACTACGAGTCTTTGCTAGTATCTTTGCTAGTACCTTCACCAGTATCTTCAGTATCTTCATCAGGATCTTTATAGAGATTTTTAGGCCACCACTCCGGGTGCAGCATCCGATCGCACACATTTTCTCTACAACATTCCTTACCTTCATGATAAGGATTCCGATCAAATAGCAGTTCGCGGTTGATACTTGCATTCCCGTTCAGGATTTGGACCCTGTACCACTCCGCCAGTTGTAAAGCGTCAGCACGAGCTGCCTTATTGGATGTATGCGCTCTAGAAGCCGGTATCGAGATACACCACCGACATTGTCGATCCTTGGGCACAAGAGTAACGGTGCACTTCCTCTCCCGAATACGTTCAAGGATATAGCAAATCAACGCTCCGTCGGTGCGAAGGTAGAACAGCTCCTGTTTACTGAAGCTGATATTGACCCACTTGTTCAAAACGCTCTCATCCACACCAGGGCCATTGTGGATGGTAATGTAATATGACATATCGATCAGCCTCCGAAGCCTATTTGGCGCTTAAGGATTGATCTTCAAGGTGCCGACACCGGTGGAGAGTGACTCTGTGACGTTCTTTAGTCGCGTGATAATGTTGCTTTGTTGGTGATCTGGATGCTGGAGATTGAGGCCCAATAAATGCGTGGGACTAGCCGGCTATAAAGTATTATTCCACTACGACATAGCACCTTGCACCGTTTGACGAGAACAAAGGCATTATGTTTCAATCCCATTGTCAAGGGTTTGATGTCTTTGTATGAATATGAATCAGGAGACAAAGATTTGAAAGCCTTTTTGTGGTGTTCATTGTTTGATTGATTCTGTTGTGATTCGACTGAGGCCCTGTGATCTTCGGATATCATGCTCTTCTTTCCGAAGCGCCACTTAGATACACAAGAAAGAATCGACAAAGGAATGGGCTAGTTACAGATATCCCATCTTCGCCTCACACATGATTCTTCCTGTGTCTGCTCGGTATTCGTCTCGAGTGTAGGGCGACTGCCTTGGGTGAGTTCGTAACAGACGCTATAGAGATAAACGATTAGCAATTCCCATGGAAACAGATAGAGCGGATAGATAGACTCACTACTCCCTGTACGTAGATCTAGTGGTACCAGAGTTAGCATGGAACCATGAATGGAGGAAAGGCCGATAGACATACACACGTATCGGATCAACGGTAATACCGGGATAGGAATTGCCATGCTTCTTTTGTGCCAAATTAGCATGGAGTCAGTTGTGTTGAGTGTGTGTAGTACTCACCAGATGGTACTGGCGTATGTGTCGACGCAACATCGGAGCCGGGTTTCCAACCTTTGCCGACTTTTGGGTTTTCCACGGGCAGTAAGGGCATCGCTTTGCACAGTCCGGAATGAACTAAATGAGAGATGTGTCAGTCAAATGAACAGAGTTTCCAAAGGCTCGAGAGTACTACAAGAATAGCATGCTCGGCTGGCCAAGTAGTTTCGGAGTGCTCGGGGCAGTCGCAAAGCTTGGCATTGGGGCTGATATTATGTTAGTCAGGAGTACACATACACGGTACACATGTTTGACACGTCAGGGTAAGTACTTACGCCCAGAAAGTAGGCTCGATGGGACGGGAGCTTTTCCAGCAATCACCATGCGGCCATGAAGAGACATCAGACACATCAGGCACAGCAGTCGCAATACCAGTCTTGGCCTCATCGGCCTCGGCTTTGATTGGCAACGGAGTATCCATCGGTTGGCCAAGCTGGGGGTCCAGGCTAGGGTCGATGTTTGGGTCAAACGGCCACTCCTGGTACAGTCTAGGATCGATGTTTGGGTCCCTCTCCTGGAAATCCATGATGTCGTGATTTGAGCTGCTAGATCTCTGTGAAGATGAGTACTTCTTTGGTCAGAGGAAGGATGAAAGAAGAGAGTTGACTACTGATACTAACGATTGACGGGTGAGGGTGTCGCGTCGTAAGGTAGGATGGTAAACGTGAGTTGGAGGAAAGTTCACCGCGGTACCGCAGTGTTCCTATCCCCCCTCAAACGAACTTCTGGCAAGTCCGGAGTGTTTGTTTCTTTCCTGGCATTTTACAGGGCTAAAGCTATAGTGACTGGGCTTGCAGCTTGTGTCGAGATCAAGAAAGGTTGAGTATAGCCACACGATGCTTCTTGCCCCACCAAAGTTGTCCTCTCAATAACTATAAGCTTTCAAGACGTAGGTATTGGCATAATGAATAGCAATTAATCGACTGCATTAGCATCGTCCTGGATCATTCGCCAAAATGCGTTGTAGTCTGCATGCTGAAATTGGAGCTTGTCGGTCAAGCTGAATATGACAGGTTTCTGAGAGTTTCACTTTACTAGGGGTTAAGTAACCGGTCTTGACATCCACGGATGTCAAAGTAATCTAGTTCTTCCCTGTTGAGATATATATATATGTTGTAGTTCAAGTAGGGTTTCAGTGGATCACGTTTACGGGCGACTAAGTATGCCACCCGACACATAACTAACTCTCTCATTGGTTATTACCTCACCGCCAAGCTCATTACCGCCTTCTTGACTTTATAGATTCAGATTCAAATCAGATTCAATTTAGATTCAATTTAGATTCAATTTAGGTTCAGTTCAGATTAAGATAGTTGTTACGCTGAAGGCTAGGGGAAGGTAAGATATGGGTTCCTGCCGAGCCAGGCGCCCAACACACCTTCGGGGTGTCACCAGATACCGGATTTGCAATTTTATGTATCTTTTGTATGACTTCGCTTTAGCTACGCGTGTGCTATATAGCGTTTAACGGTAACGAGGCTAGAGATCGATATTAAATTCTACTACGCGGGTGCTACGTAGTAGGTTTTGATACGAAGAGATAAAGGAATGAAATCTTACTACGGAACGCTATGAGAGTTGGGATAGGGATAGTAGTGCTACTACGCGGGTGCCACGCAACGGACTAAAAACACGAAAAAACTTGTAAATCGCTATTACCTAGGACATGCTACCAGCTGTTACGCTGGAGGCTAGGGGAAAGTAAGATATGGGTTCCATTGGTTGTAGCTAGCGCTGCCTAACTATATGGCAGCGGGCACGTGTCCCGCTGACTAACTGCATAACAATAGTAAGATAGTACGAAATCAAGAGTCAAGACTTAAGGGTTAGGAGTATAAAGAGCCCGATTTTAAAAAATTAATATAGTATTCATTTATTAAAATACTATATAAAGTACTAGTTAGTTATAGATTCAACATGGCGGGCGGCATACTTAGTCGCCCGTGCCACGTTAATCGATAAACGCCGAATATCCACGTGACTCACCGCCCTCTTTGAGTCAGACCGTCTTGAGTCAAAAAGGAAAGAAAAGAAAAAGGCAAAAAAAAAAAAAAAAGGATCCCCCCCGAGAGATTTCCCCCTCTTTATGGGTCATTGTCTAAGCGGGGCTCGGCGACTCACAGCCATTTTTTCTCCATTGCGTTGCCCCTCTAAATATTCGACTTTTCCGACTTTGATACGCGCATTTGGTACACGAGGATTCCCAATCATGTCCGCAGCTTCCCTTCCTGCCTCTGTTGAGGCTCTGTCGCTCCAATCCACAGCACAGAAGTCTCAGTTCGCTGGCTGCTTCCCAACACTGAACCCGATCGATATCTACCGCCAGCACATCGCAGAGGAGTTGAGCAAAGCCTCTGGTATCGATGCTCAGAAGATCTACCCGCGCATTGCCTGGACCAGTACTTTGGACAAGGGTGACCTTTCATTGCCGGTATGTGTCGGCACATGCCTTGCGCAATTCACATCTTTCGCATTACTATAAGTCCCTGGGCTAACAATATATTGTTGCATACGACTAGGTTGCTTCTCTTCAGATTAAGCAAAATCCCGTGGAGCTTGCCAAGGATCTTGTCTCCAAGTTCCCCGCCTCCGACCTGATTCACCCCCCAACCCAGCTTGGTCCTCACATCCAGTTCTTCTGCAAACCTCAGCCATTGACCAGCAATGTTCTTGGACGTATCCTGAAGGAGAAGGCCGCCTATGGAACAAATGGTAACCAGGGTCAGAAGGACCCCTCCGACCCCTCCAAGGGCCAGAAGAAGATCATCGTCGAGTTCTCGTCGCCCAACATCGCCAAGCCTTTCCATGCCGGTCATCTGCGCAGTACCATCATCGGTGGTTTCCTCGCCAATATCTACACTGTTATGGGATGGAACGTCATCAAAATGAACTACCTGGGTGACTGGGGTAAGCAGTATGGTCTGCTGGCCAACGGCTTCAAGGAATTTGGCAATGAGGAAGCTCTTATCAAAGACCCTATCAACCACCTGTTCGATGTCTACGTCAAGATCAACCGTAATGTCAGCACACAGGATGGACCTATCAAGGAGCTGAAGGAACAGATCAAGGCGAAGAACGAGAAGAACGAGGACGTTGCTGAGCTCGAGGCACAGCTTGCCAAGCTTGTGGATGTGAGCGAGGACGAGAGGGCCCGTCGCTACTTCAAGAGTATGGAGGACGGTGACCCGGAGGCTCTTGCTCTCTGGCGTAAGTTCCGTGACCTCAGCATTGAGAAGTACAAGCAGACCTACGCTCGTCTCAATATCGACTTCGATGTTTACTCCGGTGAATCCCAGATCAAGTCTGAGAGCATGACCGAGGCCTACAAGCTTATGGAGAACGCCGGTGTCTCCGAGAAGTCTGAGGGTGCTGTTATCGTGGACTTCACCAAGCACGGTGCTAAGAAGCTGGGCAAGGCTATCATTGTCCGCAAGGATGGCACTCCTCTCTACCTGACCCGCGATATCGGAGCCATTACCGAGCGTGATGACGAGTACCACTTCGACAAGATGATTTACGTTGTTGCCGCCCAGCAGGATCTCCACCTGGCTCAGCTCTTCAAGGTCACTGAACTTATGGGCCACAAGGATCTGGCCTCCCGTTGCCAGCACATCAACTTCGGTATGGTCCGTGGTATGAGTACTCGTAAGGGTACTGTCAAGTTCTTGGATGACATTCTGCACGATGTTGGTGACAAGATGCACGAGGTCATGAAGAAGAACGAAGTCAAGTACGCACAGGTCGAGGATCCTGTGAAGACCGCCGATATTCTGGGTATCACCTCCGTTATGGTGCAAGACATGACTGGCAAGCGGTATGTACAGGGTGTTTTTCTTCCCGCGCTTCCGTCTATCTGTTTACTAATTGTATGTTCCCTTTTAGCGTTAACGGCTACGAATTCAATTTGGATGCCATGACATCCTTCGAGGGTGACACCGGCCCATACCTGCAGTACGCTCACGCTCGTCTGTGCTCGATGACCCGCAAGTCCGAGTTGGATGTTGACGAGTTGGTCAACGCCAACTTCGATCTTTTGACCGAGCAGCACGCTGTCGACCTAGTCCGCCTGCTGGCACAATGGCCCGACGTACTCCTGCAGACTGCCAAGACTCTTGAGCCCATCACTGTCCTCAGCTATCTGTTCCGCATGACACACATGTTGAGCTCTAGCTACGATGTTCTCAAGGTGATCGGTAGCGAGCCCGATGTCAAGCAGGCGCGTATGGCTTTGTATGCCTCGGCCCGCCAAGTTCTGAACAACGGCATGCGCGTTCTTGGTCTCAGCCCTGTTCAGCGGTTAGTCTTCCCCCAACCCTCGTTGAAGGAGTAATCACTGACTCGTCCAATTTAGTATGTAAATTCGGCTTATAAGCTCGATTTTGCTTACTTTTTCTGTGTGGTGTTTCCACTCAGTATTCCTCCAAGACTGGTGTCTTTGGTATACATTGATTTTAATTTAGTTTTAGTTGCATTGGGCGCCAAGAGCGGGACGAATAAAAAAATGGCATTCTGCTTCTTCTTTTATCGAATTATTTCTTCGATCTCCTCTTTTGTTATTTTCTTTTCTTTTTATTATTTGCTTTTTTTAAACGCCGTATCGATGTAAGATAAAGAAATAGTGGCCGATCCCCGACAGGGGTCGGGGTTTGGATCCCGCCCACACATTCTACCCAGGTACAACCCTGATACCCTACACCCCACATTCCAACAGCGCTATTGTTTGCGGAATCTGATCTGGAGAATTTTATCTACAACATACACTCACGGCTTTTCCCCAGGCCCATTATCCAGTAAAGGACGGCGACTCCCGGGGAATCGGGGACCATCGGAGGCCTTATGTCAGCTCGGGCTCGAGTCCCAAAGTTGAGCCCTATATTCAGCTTTAGTCGGGGACCACCTCGGACACGTAAGGGCTCTGTCCACCGATATCGACGCTAGACAGGGATTTGTAAGTCCGTGGGTCTAGGTACATGTAATATAGGCGTGTTTAAAATTATAAAACCTGAGCCCGCGAACCTGGACGTGGGTTGGATTCTAATTATCTTGTATCTGCCGTAAACCTTCTACATTATCTTGCAGCATGGGCGATCCCTCACCCTTGAACGAACCCAGGTCCCCGGACCTGGAGCGGAATGATAGCGGACGCTTCTTGATGAACGAGACAGTTCGGAATTTCTCGTGGCAAGGATTAACGGTTACTGTCAAGGATCGCGAAACAAAAAAATCCCGCGATCTGATCAATGATATCAGCGGTGATGTGCAGCATGGTTTGTTATCCCTGTCCATGAATCTATATTAAGATTTTCATATTGATGTGGGTTATACAGGGGAGCTCGTTGCCCTAATGGGCCCATCAGGCTGCGGCAAGACAACACTCCTCAACGTACTTGCTCGACGTGCCGCGTCAGCTGGTGCGAAGGTTATCGGGGAGAACTACGTGAATGATGCACAAATGGACTCGCGGAATTTCCAGCGGGTGACCTCGTACGTCGAGCAGGAAGATGTGTTGATCGGGTCATTGACAGT